AAGACACGGAGCGACCCCCGAGGTGCTGCTCAGGTGGGAGGGGCAAACTGGAGATGCCGAGAACCTTGTAGAGAAAGGATGGCTGAGGGGGATGTCTCCCCAGAGTTCTCAGGCCATGAGGCCTACCGTAGGGGACACACAGAAAAGCAGGAGGGTTCGTCACCACTCCCATCAGAAGCTCCAAGAAAAGCAAAGCAGAAGATGGACAAACCATGAGTTTTCCAAGTGGGTTTAAAGAGGGGCCAACCCTGAGGGGCGGGACCTGGAGTGCTGGCTTCAGAGGGCAGGGGGCGGGCCTGCCAGGCGCACACCGTCGCCCGGGCGCTAGGCCAGCTCTCCTCCAGCGAGGCTGGTGTTGCTGTTGCAACCACGTGTTTCCATCACAAACATCTGACAACTGCCTGCAGGGATGTATTTTTAGAGGAAACTTGGCAGGATGTGAGTCATCTCTCCCAGCAGGGCAGCTGGTTGCTCTCCCACTAATGCCCACACTGCACGCCCTTCCCAGAGCTGCGCTTGAAATAGAAACAAGACACCTCCAGGCGGCTGGGGGCGCAACCACGCGGTGATGGGGGAGCAGGGCGACCTCCCACGTGTAGCCGCTGGACTTGGCAATCTTGGGTCCTGTGGTTCTTTCACTGCTCTGCCTGCCTTCGACAGAGGATGGTGAGCAGCCTGAAAGCTTACAGTGCATGCCAGTCCTGGCGGACACGCAGGCCCAGGACACCTACCCACGGCCAGCATGCCCTGCTCCAGGTCCCCGGACATCTCCCGGCAGATGCTCTTCTCAATGTCTCGGCCTGTCATTCGCTGATATTCGTTGAAAACTAGTGAGAAGAGAGAAGGAACACGTTGTGGGCTGAATTCTGTCATCCTCCCTAAATTCATATGAAGTGCTAGCCCCCAGTACCTCAGAATGCGGCTGTAGTTGGAGAGACCTAGGTACCTTTAAAGGGGTAATTAAGTTTGCCCTGGCCGGGGGAGCTCAGCTGGTTAAAGTGTGACACATACACCACCTTGGGGAAGTTTCGTACCCTCATGGCCTTGTTGAGCCTGTCAGCAAACAACGCTGGGACCAGGGCTCTGGGTAGAAGGCATAGGGAGTCACACCTCCTGAGTGGACCTCTTGCCATCCCAGAACCTCAAAAGCTTTTTTTATTTTTAAATATGTTTTTATTGACTTCAGAGGACCCCGGCCCGAAAGAACTACAAAGCTGAGCCCTGTGGGTTATGGTACTGTCTCCTTGTCTTTTTAAAAAAAAAAAAAATACATTTTTATTGATTTCAGAAAGGAAGGGAGAGGGAGAAATAGAAACATCAATGATGAGAAAGAACCATTGATTAGCTGCCTCCTACACGTCCCCTGCTGGGGATTGAGCCCAGAACCCCGGCATGTGCCCTGACCAGGAATCAATCCCTCAACCACTGAGCCACACCCGCTGAGCCCACTGGCTGATTCTTGCATGTGCCCTAATAGGGATCGAACCGGCAAGCTTGGGGCATTGGGACAATGCTCCAACCAACTGAACTATCCAGCCAGGGCCAAATCTCTTTTTCAGTTCGAGATCACCTGGCCATAGTCACACAGACCCAGACAGGATGTCGGAATAGATTTGTAATCCACTTTTAAGGTGAAGGGAAATGCTTTGCTCATTGTTTGCCTGAAATCTTGGCTTACCTTGATATTGCACTGTGTGCCCACCACCCAAAGTCAAATCATCTCCGGCACCATTTACCTATTACTACGAGGAGGCGACAGCCCCATGCAGAGAGGAGCTGCTGTTGTACCTTGTCTGCCCTGGTTACCTGGCCCCGGGAGGTCTGGGGCTGCCTTACCTGCCACCAGGTGGGCCCGGCTCCGGGCGCACAGGATTGCATTGAACTTGGACTCATCTGTTCCCAGGCGGTTCTCTCCAGCTGCGTACAGTTCCTGGACAGACAGAGGGGAAGATGGGCATGCCATGCAGGCTCACCCAGACACCAGGTCCAGGTCCCCTACAGGAGCTGGGCAGAAACTCCGGGCCCCGCAGGCCCAGAGGGGAACGGAACAGGGCCAGTGCCCCTGCTGTGCTCCATTCACTGTGCAGGACCAGACACCGTCCGCACGTCCCTTCCCTGGCAACATCACGGATCCTGAAGCTGGGGACTCAGACCCAGGAGAACCGAGGCCGACGGGAGCCAGGATGGGGCAGGAGCTGCTTTAACCCAACGAAGGGCGCAGTGGCACCCAGGATAAAAGAACGAGGGGCCTGGGCCGGAGCCCTTGCTCACAGGCAACTTGCCGCAGGGCTCTCGGCAGGCCGCTGGCCCTCTCAGAGCCTCGTTTCCTCATCTCTACAATGTGAACGTTGGATTAGGTTTGGGGTCACAAACCCAAAAGCCCAAAGGGCAGCTAGGTCACCTGAGGATACAGGGCCAGAGAGAGGTGGGGACCAAGGCTAACCACAGAGGCGGCTACTTCTCAGCACCAGCCGGGTCCAGTGACCGAGCAAGGCAGGCTCACTCTGCCAGGCCCACTGCACACGAGCAGCCAGGTGCTCATTTCTCAGTGAAGTTCCCAGTTTTTCAGAGGAACATGTGAGGTAAGTATGACAGCAACTGATACGTCAGTGACAGATGTGGGATTCATATGCGAGGCACTTCCCCGGGGTTGCATTGCCATTATGTTTGCAAATGGGCAGAATTTGCATTTGCCTGTTAAGATTTTGAAAGTGCAAGTCCAAAATATTTGCCAATTTGCAACCTCTACAACAGATGGCTCAAAAGTGCCTTCCAGACTCAGGTAAGAGCTTTTAGATCTAAAGGCACCAACATGCAGGGCAGAGGGTGGCCATCAAGGGCTCCAAGACCCCAGGTCAAGGGAAGGCAGGAGCAGGTCCAGGCCATGAAGGCAGAGCAGCAGGCACGAGTCCTTGAGACTAAGGCCACTCCCACATCAGCTGGGAGACAGCCCACACAGGAAACAGGAAAAAGGAATATTCCCACCGAGGCCAGAACCCGAGCCCGGAGCTTTGAAACTGTCCGAGTCTAGAAATGGGGGCGGGTGTCTCCAGCAGGGAGATGTTACCGCAGACCCTCAGGAGGGCACCTGGGACCAGGGATCAGTGCTCCCTGCAGGAACAGAGCCAGGAGCTGGGCCCTTGTCCAGACTCTGCCTCCACGTTTCTCTGGGCACAATGTCAACCTTTCTGAATCTCAGAAAGCAAACGGACCAGATTGTAAGAGAGGCTCTCTCCGACCCTGACAAGGGGCACTCCACAGAGGTGCTCTTCAACCTGACCGCTGGGGGAGACGGGAGACCACGGCAGTGCGGGGAAGCCTGCCGAGGTGGCAGGGGCAGTGACAGGGAGAGGGATGGCCGCTCCAGCCACCAGGGAGCTGGGCTCTCTCCAGGCTGGATGCTCTGAATTCGTTAGTGGGAAACCCACACTCCCCCAGAGGGGCACTCAGACGCCTGGACCAAGAGAGAAATGGGGACTTGCCCCCCTCTGTCCTGCAGTTCACACCAGACTGGGGACAGGACAGAATTCTAAGGCTGCACAACTAACGTGACAGCTAGTTTCCAGGCTCAAACCTTCAAAAGCTTCACAACCAAGTGTGGACTCTGCCCATTTGCAAACATCATGGATATGCAACCAGCAGAAGAGCCAGGTCACACGAAGTTCCACCTTCGTAACCATGACCTACCAACCACTCTGACGTCCCCGCGGAAGCTCCCTCTACAGGCAGGGAAACAAGCTCGAGGCCGCACCGCTGATGAGCAGCAGGGCCTCTGAAAGCCACGTCATCGGGACCCACTCCTGTCGGTTCTCGTTCCATCCCACACCCCCTCCTTCAGGAAGCAAGGGAGTGGCCCCCACCCGCCCAGGAAGCCCAGGCAGGTGCCTGATTGGCCACCACACTCACCTGGACATCTCTCTGGACGAGCGACATGTCCACATTTGTGCTTTCGTCCCGGTTTCCCTGAAAGGAAACAGGCTGAGTGGTCAAGGCCACTCCCTGGAGTTGCCCCTCGCTCCCCATCCTTTCCCTCCCTGCCCAGGGAGGCCCTCTCCGCTGCGTGGGGAAGGTACCTGAGAGAGAGAGATGAGGAGCCGCTGGAAGTGTCCTGACGTGTCGCTTCGAATGGCCTCCTCCAGGGTCTTCCTGAATTCTGGGGGACACACAAAGGCCCACCTTGTAGCCCAGTGGACAGAGCTGCCCACTGCAGACAGTCAACAGTGGGCACTGGCAAGAGAAGAGCCGGGAGTCCTGGGCTCGAGGAGACAGGTGGCCCACGTGGCTCTCCAGGGACACACATTGGGAAATCCTGGGGGGTTGTGAACGCCAGGCTGACCTGGCCTCTCACCAGGCTTGGCCCAAACCATGCCTAAGAGGTTTCCTCAGCCCTTGCTTCCTTTAGTCAGTGTCCTGTGTGCAAACAGCAGGCAGGGTTGGGTCTTGGACCAAAGCCCCATGTGCTGGTTGTGGCAGGGGAGTGAGGTGATGAGAATCCAGGAAGGAACAGAGGCCCTGGGAGAGGGTGTGGCCAGGCTGGATCACACTGGGATCTGCGGAGGGCATGGGACCTGGGGCAGCCTACCTGCATGGTAGGCTCTGCTCAGTTCCCGGATGTGGTCGTTGTTGCGGGAGGCGAGGATCTCGATCAGACAGGCTTCGTCTGTGCCAGCCCCCTGCAGACGGCACAGCAAACCGCAGGTTCGTTACCTCCCTCACTGGCACCCAGGAAAGAGCCGGCACCGTGCCACTGCCCTGCTCCCCAGGGCACAAATCCCAGCCACAGAAGTCACAGAGCCCCTGGTGCTGTCCCTCTGAGAGCAGCCATGCCATCCTCCGAGCCCCAGGGCAGCACCAGGTGACAGCGACGTGATGCTGAGGGGACCACATGGAGGATCGTCCCGCTTTTACCCACCGGGAACCTGAGAATCAGAGAGGTAGTGACTTGTCCCAGGCAAAGTGGGTTGAGACGGGGACTCAGAATGTGTTATCCCAAGTTCAGCGCATGAATGAGATGAGAAACAACTGAGAGTGGGCATGTGGGAAAACAAGCCTCAGAATGGACCGTGGGCATCGGCAGACGTCCAGGGAAAGGCAGCAACAGTGAGGACGAGGGAGGACGGCAGAGACAATGAGGACGAAGGACAGGGCACCAGCCTGGCTTCTGTCGGTCCGAGTCCCCGCCCTTTTGCTGACTAGCTGTGTGACTGTACACACGCCACTCAGCCCCTCTGGGCCTCAGCTCACCGGTCCACACAATGGGCAGCCACAGTCCCATTTTACAGATGCTCAAGGACACACAGCTAGTCAGTGACAGCTGACCCCACACCTGGTTCTTTCCAGCACCCCACAACCACCACCACCTCATGAATGGCTGGGGCGGGGGCTGGGCAGAGGTCTAGAGGCCACTCCCAGGTGCCCTCCCCAACTGCCTCCTGACCCCTCGGTAGAAGAAAGGGTGTTTCAGGGGAGGCCTCTCCCTTGCAGCTCCACACCGAGAGCTCTCCCTCTCCTCCTGGGGGCAGGCAAGGTCACTGCGCCTCCCGGCCTGTCTCTCCGCCCCGGAGGAAATGTTAGATTCCTCCCAAAGCACCCTCTGTGGGCTGCCCTGCCATCCACAGGGATCCCCACTGTGGGTCTGGGGATCCCCTGGGGTGTACGGTATGCAGAGGATTCTCCGCTTGGTCACAACTGAGAGGCTGGGCAGACACTAAACCAAACCGAGCCATTCACAATCTGGACTCAGGAGCCGCTGGCCTCTTCTATGGCCGGATCTCTGGCGGGCAAATGGACAGGGACCCTCGCTGAGCAGACGAGGAGGGAGCAGGAAGCAGACGGAAGCACAGAGTGGACTTAGAAGCAGCGGTGAGAGCTCCCGCGTGGTGCCTGCGCGTGACACCCGTCCTAACTGTCCCCACGCCAGGCTGTTCCTCTCTGTGCTCATAACCGAGTCCTCACTGTTCTGCTTCAAGTGCTCCGGGCGCTTCAGTCATTTGCTAATGAATGAGGATGAGCCACCCTGCCTCATAACCCTCTACAGCCCCAGCTCCCGCCACGTCGTGAAGATGGAGACACTTGGATGTTCCCTGACAATGAATGGCACTCGGCTTTCCTCTTGGGAAGTCACCGGGAGGTCCCCTTCCAGAGCAGTTGGCGTGTCGGAGCCAAAATGACAACAGCAGCTAGTGAGCAGCTAAGACACACCACGTGGTCAAGGCCCCCCCCAGGCTGTGTCCACAGTGTGACCACGCACACACACACACGCTTACACACCTTGATGGCTTCCTTTATCTCGTAAACATCAAAGAGGATTGGGGTCTTCATCAGAGCCAAGATAGTCTTCTCGAAGTTTCCTGACAGTTCAGATTTCAGATCTTTGATCAGATCCTGATTGGATATTCAAACAAACAACAACCCTACTTAGAGACTCCACAGGGGACAAACAGGGACAACTTCACAGATGTGAGGACGGAGCATTGGCAGAAAAGCCAACCCTCCACCCCAGCCCAGCCCTACGGAACTGGCGCTGCATCTGAACCCGTCCCCGGAGGGCCCTGGCACACTGATGCTGGAACACTAGCCTACTCAATACTTACCCAGGTTTCACCTTCCAAAGATTCAAAGTTCAAAATATGCCCCTTGCATTTGTTCAGTCCTGAAAGCCTTTTCCTTCAAGCCCTTCTACCAGCCAAGCCTCCAGGGTGGCCATGAAGAGGGCAGGACAGCAGCCAGGTTCCCAGGAGGGGACCAGGCCAGGGGGAGGGAATACTTTGCTTAGGGGCTCAGTGATCATGGCAGCGCCAGGGCAAGAACCCCGATCTCTGGCGCCTGTCATCAAATCTCCGTTCCCTGTGGACTCCGGTTTCTCCCTCAGAGCATCGCTCACCCCTAGAAGGCGCCATCAGCCGAGGCCACTGGCTGGATGGGCAGCAGGAACACCCTGATGTGCCTCACTGCCCCAGGGAAGAGCAGGGCTGTGCTGGAGGACGCCTCATGCAGGGGGACCAGCCTCCCTGGACCCTCCCCGGCACCCTCACCTTCCCATACGCTGTCTTGAAGGACAGGAGGATCTGCTGCCGCTGCTTGTTGGAGCGACTCCCCAGGCAGTCGATGATGGCCTGCTCGTCAGTCCCTGGAGGAAGAAGAGGTGGGAGTGGGCAGGGCTGGGGGCCGTGGGATGCTCTGCAGCTGGATACTCCCTAGGCGTGGCTCCTCCCCTTCTTCTGGGCACCCCAATGCACCCCACATCCATCTTTCTCCACTACCACTAGGGCCAGGCTGTCTTGACCCCGCAACCCCAGCCCACAGAGCCACTGGGTAACTGCTTGAGGTGGGGGTGGGGGATGGGTGGCCATTTGAGCCATTGGGACCGCTCACCAAAGCCTTTCATAGCCTTCCGCAGAACCTCGGCATCTCGCAGGGGGTCAAAGCCAGGAGCATCGGTGATGGTACCTCGCTTCCCAAACTGCTGGGACAGACTTAGGTGAGAGGCTGCATCCCCAGGTGCGACTGCCCCACCCGACTCTGGGAATGACCTTTTCTCTGAAAGGTGGGGTAGCTGAAGGAGCTCACAATAACAGCACAGAGGAACCCACTGAGTGGTCCTATGTGGCCATTATCTGTCCTGCGTCCTGGTACTGACGCTCTGCCTGGCTCCTGTGGCCAGGAGCCCATCTACAGCTGAGTCCTGATGCTGAAAATCGGCCCTACACCCAGGTCCTGGGGGCTGGCCTGGGCTCCT